TAGAAAGCGGGAGACGCGCTTATATATATATATATATATATATACACGAGGTGTGTATATAGAGAGGGAGGACGATGGACACGATGCGATCGCCGTGAGGATGGCGAGGCATAGCAATCAGCCGCAGACATGCATCTGCGAGCACTACTGTGTAATTTCTAGAACAAAAAGCTCGCCGTAATTGTGTTCATTATCTTGAGGCCTCCTCCCTTGGAACAAAAGGGGGGACTCGAACGGACGGAAGGACCAGTGGCGCCGCGAGCGGAAAAGTCTTGGATCGGTGTCCCGCGAAACTTTCGCCGGGGTGCAATTACACAGGAAGCTTCCCGATCACGAGATTTCGAATCTTCTCTCTCCTCTGTTATTCTTTCCGTAATATTTTCGACGGCCAATTCACTCGATTCTTATTTAACGTATCCTAGTCTTTTTCTTTCCTTTTTTTGAAAATAATTATATAATAATTACGATAATTATTGGATGGAAATAAATACAGGTTGTATTTTTAGCAAATTGTTGCTTGTACTCAACATCGAGCGTTTATTTTACCCGCTTCGCAAGAAATCTTCTTTTTGATCGAAATTGATTTATATTGGCAAAAATACACGGACGAGTAAAAGAAGTATATCTTTCGAAAATCTTTCTTGTCGGGTGAAACAATACTACCACAGATCAGATTATCCGAGTCGATGAAATCTCGACGTGAAAAAAAGAGACGAAGAGAGAGAATTATTATTAAAGCGCGCTTTACCGAATGCGATTAACCCTCCCGCAATCAGTTCGCCATTAACTCGAACAGTGTTTGAATATCTTTCGGCCGAAGCGATAAAACTCTTTCTTTCCTCCGCTTTACGAGGTACAACAGGTCTGAAAATTGCCGTTCTCCGCGTATCCCGTGTAAATCGTGGAACGGGGCGCGATATCATTTTTTGGGACAGGACGAGAGGGCGGGGGACGAGAAATTCGGGGATAAAATTGCTCGAAGGTCGAGCGTGTCCCGTTTAAAAACGAATCGCCCTGGCATTATCCTAAGTGAGTTTTAATGGCTCGAATCAGAGCGTGGCACCGCGTGGCCGTGTCCGCGAGGAATATACACGAAGAAACTCGGTTGGAAATTCGGTTAATCGTACGGTTGTCCACCTTTAACGAGAAAAGAGAGAGAGAGAGAGAGAGAGGGAGTAAACTGGTCCGGGACGACGCGACCCGGTTGGTGCGCGCACGCGAGAATGCGTAATTGCACGCTGCTGTTCCGCGTGTAATTGAAGTTTCTGGAAAAGAGGGGAGAGAAGGTATTACATTGTGGCCCGGAACGCGACATCGCCGTGACGCAAGTGAACGCTCGCGCGCGTGTAATTGCACGTTACCAACCCGGTTGAAGATTATAAGCTCAACTAGGTGGACGAATGGGAATCGAGAGATTACGGTTAATGGAGGGCGTTAAATGTTAGTCAAACTAACCGTTGCTTTGAACTTGGCCCCCGATTTTGTCGTGCCCCCTCAAAGGGAGCGATTATTTTTCTCTTCTTCGTGAATATTTTCTATTTTCTTTCTTTCAGTTTCGTATTCTGTTCGATATAATAATACCGTGAAGTTGAAACTTTTCCATATCTATAAATACTCCATCACTTTATTTATCTCTCAATTATCTCGAACCGTACACGAAAACATTTCTACGTTATCTCTCAACTCCTTATATACGTTTTTTCCAACACGCTCGAAACATCGATGCAATGCGAAACACGGTTGCAATCTACAATCGTGGCGCGTCTACGATCGCGAGCAAAAGAGATCGCGACGGAAGAGAGAGAGAGAGAGAGAGATGCAGAATGTAGAAGCAGGGGTCTCTCGAGGTGGTGTAATCTACGCTTGCGAGTAGGTAGGACGGGCAGTGGATACACCGGCTACGTATAAGTATAATGACTGGCACTTCTATGCATTATCATACCGCTGGGGCTGGCCCTACTGGTGGTGGCTGGCCGGCCTGTGCGGTGGCTGGGATCAGCCGTGGCCGGGGAGATGAATAATTTCAGGACGGGCACGCAATTACGTGCGCGTACGTCTCGCGTACCAAGTAGCCAGTCGACGGGCCACGCACGCATACGCACACGTGGCAAAGGAGCCACGGACACCGTAACCCATCCCCCGGCCCGCTCCACAATCTTGGTATCATTTATATTTCACTGCGGGCAATTATTTCGGGCCCCGACCGTGCCCATCGGGTGTCCGATAAGTTCGAGACTATCGAGAACCACTAGCTCTCCCTTGTTGATTCCGCAACAAGGATCTGATAAACCGACGCGTCCTTCGCGAGACGCGTGTGAACCCCGTAGGTCCACACGATCTCTTCGACTTTCTTCGTATA